TGGGGTAAGCCAAAAAAAAAAAAAGAAAATATGCTATTTCATTATAGCTTTGTATGATTGGCCATCTGTTACTATACTAAATAACTGATATCAACTTACAGACTCTCCATGGTTTTAGAGATTTTAGTCCATGTTTGGCTGGCCTCAGTGTTTGGGGCTATGATTGCCCTTTATGGTAGGGACTGTGGCAGAGCAAAGCTGTGCAGCTCACGGCTGGAAACTTAATGAGAGGAAGAGGAAGGGACTGGAGTCTTCCATCCCTTCAAGGGCAGGCTGCCAATGACGTCCCATTGAGTGCTGTCCCTCCAAGGCTTCGCCACTCAAATGCGTGGTGTTGAGGACCACTCCTCTATTTATTCAGCACATGGACCCTTGGAAGATAATTTATCAAAATCCTAGAAAGCTCCTAGAACCACTTCGAGGTGACCCTGAAAAACAGCACCGAGAGGAAGTCCTTATAGAAGGCAAAGCCCCAGCTTGTGTACTTGGTCTTTGAAGAAAAGAGCTTGTTGGAAGGAACGGCTCTCAATGAACTGCACTGATCAAATGGTTTCTTCCAGGGACATGGAAGAAACAAGACTTGAGTATTAGAAACTATAAAGCTGATGTATCAGACATGCCAACAAGAGAGGTATCACTGACATCCTGCCACAGGACCATTCATTGAGGGGAACAGCCTGACACACGGTGACCTGTTGATCACAACAGATTAATTACGATCTATTTATTCTGACCAGGACACATTTTGGGCATTCATTTGCCTTTCCTGCCTTCCGAGCCTCCTTATACAGTGTCTGATTCACAGACGGCACTTCCCACATACCATCACCTTAGACCAATGGACCGCTTTTGGAAGAGAGGTTGAGGCTGTGGGCACAGGATCATGGGACTATCTGGTTTTACAATGTACCACACTGTCCACAAGCTTCCATTCTGCCAGCGTGATGAAAGACTCTTGAAGATAAAGCTGAGGCTCTAGTTTGAAATCAGTTGCCAGAGATGAACAGTGTTTGGTGGTGTGTAAAAAATTATCCCCGAACATTACATTTCAATAGATGAACATTTGCTACCTGGTGGTTTCATCATGAATTTGGGAGCAATTGATCTCGGAGATTCTAGTATGGGGTTTCTCAAGAGATTGTGATCAATCATTGCCTACATTTCATCTAAAAGGACAGAAGTAGGAAGCATGTGAGCTGGAGAGATTACTTAATGGTTAAGAGTACTTGCTGCTCAATCAAAAGGACTAGAGTCCAGATCCCAGCACCCCATCAGGCAGCTCACAATTGCCTGTAGCTCTAGTTCCAAGAGATCTGACAGCCTCTTCAGGCTTCTGATCACACACACGTGAGCATGCATGTACGCAGACACAAACATAAACATAAACACACGCACACACACACATAAATAAAATAAATAAAAATAAATCTACAAGAAAGAAGCATGATGTGGGAAATCAAATTGACCAGCAAGTTTGGGGAAGCCATCTCCATTCTCAGTAGAGTGATTAGGAAAAGGGTCAAGTGTGACTGTCTCGCTGACATGCCATCCAATGTCTCAGTCTGAAAACTGGTTCCCCACACTACCAGCAAGTTTGGGGAAGCCATCTCCATCTCTCAGTAGAGTGATTAGGAAAAGGGTCAAGTGTGACTGTCTCTCTGATGTGCCACCCAATGTCTCAGTCTGAAAACTGGTTCCCCACACTGTAGGGCTGTGAGGTCCTGGCATAAGCAGGAGCCTGGCAAGTGTTCACTGGTGCTATTTTTCTTTTTTGCTGTGAGTTGAGTTCTAACTGCCATGTCCTCTCTGGATCACTTGTCCTCACAGACATATAGATATACAGACACACAGACACACACATACACGAAATTGAGGAACAGCTCAGAAAAGGGGGTGCCAAATGCAATTTGACTACCGACAGTGTGAGAGCAAGAGTTCATCAATTGGAGAACAAAGAATGGGATGAAGGAACAAGGGGGCAGAAGAGATGGTCTGTAGCTGGGCTACTCTGGCTGCTTCTTTTAACTTTCCAAACCTGATCTTCCTGCCCCTTGTGAACATGGGTCTCCAACCTAAGCCTCATGCATAGAACCATGAAGTCTTGAGTAACCTCCCATCTGAAGTTTTCTTGTTGAACTTGTAGACCAAACAGCCTAACTGACTCATCTGTTAATGTAATTGTCAATTATTTACCTTGCAGATCCCCGAAAGACACCACCAGATTGCAGAATTCTGAATTATCTAGATGCTCATCATCTAATCTCACGTCCTGATTCCTGTTCTATAAAAGAGGCTGCTGTGGCAGAAGTGAGTAGGAGAGGAGAGGAGGCCAGGACAGCTGCTGAGATCTCGAGACTCAGGTGAGACCTGCTGTGCCTTCCTCTGTTCCACAGCTGGCCTGCATAGAAGGGAGGCTAGCGCCTTGCTGTGGGTAGGCCCTGACAGACTGCTTTGTCACTCACTGGGGACCTTACAAGAGAAAGAGGATTGGCCATAGTCAGGTGGAAGGGGCTGGCCATTCACGCAGCTTTCCCAGAGGCAGGAACATTGATAGAGCAAGGAATGCTCAATATGCTCTAAGTAAAAGACCTAGGGATGAGATTTAACTGGCGCTTGCCAGTGCAGATTGAGAAGTGGGCTGTGGCTGTGTGACCTTTGACATTATGTCACTTGTGAGGGTACCCACAAGCCATTCTGGGCTGAATCCAGTACAAAGGTCTACCTCTAAACAGAGATGGTGTCAGAGTATTGAGGTGTTCAGCCTCTGAGGAGGATGTAGGACCCTCTTCATCCACTTTGAAGAGGAGGAGCTAGCATGAGTGAGGCAAGCTGACACAGCAATCACAACTCCACGTGGAGTGTAATGCGAGGCTTGCTTAATTGGGTAGAGGCTTCAATCCAGCAGGCATAGTTTCAGATCCTCTCTCAGCTGCGACCTACAGCTTAGGGGGAAATTGCCTGCATCACTAGGCTTCTGTTCCAACCTACGATGCAGTCCATGTGTTCCCACACTATCAGATGTGGTAAAGATGTTGGTCACAATGTGTAAAGCCACCATCTTGCGGCCCGGGAAAGAGCACTGTGGAAGCCTGTGAACCATTATGGCTAGTCACCCCCTGGAGTTCTGGAGAGGACACATAAGACCGTCCTTCCAACTGGGGACAGGGCAGGCAAGAAAATAGATTCTTCTGTTACTCATCCACTGTGAACTTGTCACTCTGTCCACAGATACCAGGAGGGATGTTTCTAATTGGGAGCCTCTTTGCCCTCTGTGGGCTGCTGGCACAAACTACAGCCTATATGGCAGGCCAGCCTTTGATCCTGAGCAATTCCCTGCCTACGTGCATGGACCACTGCCGGCCCTTGCCAGTGGGTACGGGGGTGCCCTTGACTGTGGCCCCAGGCCTGTATTCATATCCTTCAAGTCATTATGCTAGAGACTTCAGAGATGGTAAGTGAATCTCTAACACTTTCTTTAAGGAGTGTGCGTGTGTGTGTGTGTGTGTGTGTGTGTGATGTGTGTGTGTGTGCACAAGTATGCTCAGGTTGTCTAACCTTCCATTAACAGGAAGTGAGGGATGAGGGAGGAAGAGTGTCTGAGCATTTAAAATTGCCATATGTCATCCCTGAACCCCTCTCCCATTGCAGCTTTCAGCCGTGGCCTGCTGTCTGGGGGTTTGCTGGGCTTTCTGGAAAACCTTCCACTCCTGAACATCCTGAAGCCTACAGGAAGCAGCACTGGTGGCCTGTTTGGGGTGGTTGGAAAAGTGATTTCATCAGTCCCCATCCTGAACAACATCCTTGAGTGAGTTGCCCTTAAGTAGTGTCTTGGTGTCTTCCACCACCGAAGACGTGCTCATCTCAGGCAGCAACCCTACAGAAGGAGAGGGGTGAGGTGACCGTGGTACTGGCACTCAGTTCTGAGACTCTCTTCAGCCTGACAGAAAACACTGACCCTCTTGTACCCATAATTTCTCCCAGATCTAAGGCACATGCTGGGGCTCCAGAAGCATCTATGAGTCCCATGATATCTCTCCATGCCAAATCCATAATCCCTAGTTCCCAGATGGAAAAACAGAGGGACAGAGATATACCTGTGTTCACACAACTAGGGTGATGCAGACTTGTGAATCTAATCCTAAGTCAGAGAAGTCCAAACCAAGGCCTTTTACCCCACTGAGGTCCCTGGGTTCACTCCACCTGAGGAATGTGAGCCGACACTGGACTGCCCTCCTCCACCACCAGTGTGACTAAGCAGTGTGGTGTCCATAGAAGATCTGGTGTGGTCCTTCCCTTGAAAACCCAAGAGCTTAGCAGGCACAAAGCCACAATGCAGAGCTTGATGCCAGTGAGCTGCCCAGGCCTGATTCCGTAGTAGGACTGGATCAAAGCCATTGCCAAGATCCCACCCACGGCTTTACCTGGTGACAGACAGACTTCAATTTGATTTCCATACGAACTATGAGCTGGATGACCTGAGACTCGGGGTCGGATTCTTTATCTGTAAGATGGAAATTAAAGCACCCACAAAAAAATGCTGTGGGAAGACAAAGGAAGGTGTAATACTTGGCACTGTGAGGTCTCAGAAAAGGCTTTTCTCCCACCACTTCTGAATTTTCCCAACTTCCTGCCTCTCAGTCCCCATGATAAGTGTTGGGGACTGATCTGCACTTGAAGGTCTTGACAAGATGTATAATTTTCACCATAAACCTTGTGCAGGATTTATCCAGCTGCCCACATGTTATCCATTTCTTCCTGCACCAAACCATTCATCTATCTGTCCATCTTTCCTTCCTTTCATTGTTAACCATTCCCTCTTCTATCTACCCATATATCCCACTGACTACCCACTTTCCCACCAACACAGAGCCAGTCACTTTCTTTATAAGGCTCTGAGCTGGTATGCGTAGTTTCTTTTCTCGAATACCTCCTAGTCTTGAGATGAAGGGAGGACCTTGTATTTTATGATTTGACTCAGCAGTTGAAAAAGATGGGTGCTCAGAACCCAAGGTGGCTCTGGCTACAGGACTGCCATTCTGTGTTCCTCATCTCAGGTGTCCAGTTCTCCTTCTGAGATGGTTAAATTTGGGTTAAAGATGGTTTCCAGGGGCTGGAGAGATGGCTCAGTGGTTAAAAGCACTAGCTGCTCTTGTGGAGGACCCAGGTTTGATTCCCAGCACCCACATGGCAGCTAATAACTGTCCATAACTTCAGTTCCGATGGAATTTGGTGAGGTTCGCATTCCTGACAAGAAACCTCTACCTTTTAATGTGGTGGGGACAGATGTCAATAGGCCTGTTTCTTCCTCCTCTGGCAGCCCTGCAGTTGGCCATCTGTTGGAGCTGGCTGTGAAGCTGGATGTCACTGCAGAAATCTATGCTGTGAGGGATATTCAGGGACGAAGCCGTCTGATCATCGGTGACTGTCTTTACCCTCCTGGCAGCCTGCGCATCTCCTTGCTCAATGGGTGAGGCCATAGGGGTGGCTCCTCCTGCCCAGAGATAACCGAGTCTTATGATGGAATGAAGGGAGGATCAATGGTCAAGAGGATAGAAAGGAAGGTGTGTTAGAGGGTAGGAGTGAACGGCTGCACGGATGGATGGTCACATGGCTAGTGGATGAAGGGAAGGACGTACAGACAGACATGGGTAGATATGTAAGAAAATTGATAGATAAGTTCTCACTTATCTCTTGGTAGATCAGCATGACCAATTTTGTGTTAGATTAGTCAATATGGAATTAGGCCACACATAGTATAGGGGCATGAGGAGAGACAGAGTGCTCTGATGTGAACCTGAATAGCCTTCCTCCAGTTTGGTCTCCTTACTTTGCTCTAATATGAAACTATATTGAGGTTATTGATAGACTCCCACCAGAGGGTAAAATAGATGTAGGAACTATTGGATTGCTGATTTTGGTTACGTGTCACAAGAGGTTGGGGGAGCCCAGTCATACACAGTGCATAAGAGCTGGCCACAGCATGGCTCACATTTATTACACACATATGTCATGGTTTGCATGTATCATTTCACTGAGTCCTCATGATGGATATACACTAAGCACTGTCATACATTTGTGGTTTGACATAGTCTTGTTATGCCCCACTGTGTGCTTCAACTGTGAGTTTATTCGACACTCATCTGTGTGTGCACTGCTGAGGTGGCTATAAGTCTCTGTCTAGGCCTCTTTTTGTTCACGTGTTCTGGGTGTGAAGAGGCAAGACCCTGTCTCAGTTACTGAGTGTCAAGATCAAGGGTGCATTGCAGACCCTGAAGACTTCTCCAGACCAACCACAGGCCTCTATATCATATCCACGTGTTTATCTTCTAGACTAAGTCCCCTTCAAAAGCTTGTGGACGGCCTCACAGACATCTTGACTAAAGTCCTTCCTGGCCTGGTGCAGGGCACGGTAAGAAATCAGAAGTGTCAGGTGCCTGCTGCTTGGGTCTTAGAGCTTCTGAGGTTAAAGGAGAGCCCTGTAATGAGTTAACGTGAGCTACTCTGTGTGAGATGAAATTCCATCCGTCAATCCCTCTGCCTATATTCCTTCTCTCTATTCCTCCAAATACACTGATTGGTTTGTTCTGGGCGATAAATGTATCCTTCACTATTCTACCCTGGGCATGCTTCCTCTCCCAGGGTCTTCCTGTAGGAAGCCCTGTGCTTAACTCCCCTCTCCGCCCTGGGTCAGGTGTGTCCTCTGGTCAATGGAATTCTCAGCATCTTGGATGTCACCCTGCTGCATAACATCGCTGGTAAGAACTGCTTTCAAGTCTTCTCCTCCTCTGAGGAGCAGCAGTTTCCCCCAAGGAGCTATGTATTTGCCTACCATGGGACAACTAGATCCCATCAACCTCTCCCCTCCTTGTTTTGGAGATCTTTGTTCCCAAGAATGATCCAGGTGATTTTGAGGTAAAGTATACCTACCCCTCAGCCTGACCTTGAGAACAGCTGGGCTGGCTGGAGAAGGAGGCCCAGCCATTCCTCACATGGCTCAGTATGGCGAGCATGGCCAGTGCCCTAGAATCCTAGTCACCATGTAGCCGGACTCCTTCACCTGCAGATGTGACTTTTGTCATTTTCTTTCCATAGACTTCCTGCTCGATGGAGTCCAGTTTGTCATCAAGGTCTAGGCTTCGTAGGAAAGGACCTTTCTCGGCTGAGCCTGTGAGTGCTGCTCCTACTCCCCAGGATTTCTGGAGTAGCTCTTCTTCTTATAAGGAAGCAAGGGCCTTTGGGCAAAAAGACTCAGAAAACATCTCCCAATGCCATCAGCCTGGGTATTTAGCCTTTAACACATCAGATTTAACATCCAAGTTATAGCAACATCCAAGGAAAGAGACAAACTCTCTGTCTCTGTCTCTGTCTCTGTATCTCTCTCACACACACAGAGAGAGAGAGAGGGAGAGAGAGAGAGAGAGAGAGAGAGAGAGGTATGCAGTCCACAGAAAAGCTTAGGGAGGTGCCATCGCAACACAACTGTAGATAAAACACACATGATAATGGGTATATATAGATATAGACACAGACACAGACACACACACACACCAAAATTGATCTACATGTGCACACATATGAGTACACAGACACACATTCACATAGGTTCACAAGAGTCAGGGCCTTGTAGCTGAGGCAGGACACATAGCCTTGACTCTTAGCCTGCTTCTGTCCCTCAAAGGGCTGGTTTGATGGTGGGGCAGTACCAATAAGTCATTGACCTCAAGTCTCCCCCTTGTCTGAACTCTTCTTTCAACAGAACAGTTTTTGCTGCTCAGTCCCCTTCTCCCGACCCAGCTTCCCATGGCTCACAGGAGGGCCCATGTTCTGGAAAATAACACAACTGCCTTCTCCCCAAGAAACCTTCTCTCCTCATTTCCCACTAGACGTGACTAACAGCCTGTGTTCATCCCTAAATAAAATCACGCTTCTACTGCACTGGTGACTTAAGTTCCTTCACTATCCCTGGAGACATTGGAGGCCACAAAGGAACCTGGCTAGGTGGTCAGGGCCACATCCCAGAGCTGATCTTCATATCACAGGTCTGAGGGGTTTTGAACAGGTCAGGGCTGAGATTCGGGTGAGTGGGGATTTCAGGTGACCACCCTGCTGTCACTCAGAAGGGTACATGGGGAAGCTGGGGGTGGATGAACACTCCAGGCACCATGTCAACATGCGAGGTTGCCACAGAAGAAGTGAAGAGTCAGATGGGAAAGATGATCAGGAAGGGTATGGGGGCAGGTGGGTTCTGGTCCACATGTCAGAATGAGAATCAGGGGTAACCAGGAATGTGGAAAGGTGACCTGATGACAGCAGGAAGAGCAGGTCTGAGTGGTGGCCACTGTGTGTCTGTGGAGTGCCTGGAGACCCCAGAGGAGGAACCAGGTGCCGAGGACACAGGACACCACCCACCCTTTTCTCACTTGGATCCAGTCATGCTGGCCTCCTTTCTGTTCTCCCACCACAGAAGGACAGACCTGACTAAGGAGAAGGGCAGGAAGAAGGGTGCTGAGGTCCGGGAGTTAACTGTGGAGGGCTTGTGAACAGCAATGGCAGGCTAATTGGAGTTGTAAATAAAACGATTATTCCTTTTTGGAGGAAAAAATAAGCTTAATTTTAAGAAAGTGGAAAAAAAAGGAAAAAATGAAGACTGTAGAATTATGAAGAACTGAATGTAGGAACCATTGCGCTCCGAGACTGGAAAATCAAAACCCACGATCTTGGTGAAACCAGCAGCCCAGTAGCCACAGGGAGAGGGAGAGGGAGTTAGAGCAACACAAGGCCTCATTCCTAGGTGGATGGCATTATCGGGCCTGCCCTTTGGGTCTCTGGATGGCTCACTATGAATCTTGACTTCATTTGATCTTTCTCAGAGTTCACAGAGTAGGAAACACCTTCTCCTCATGGACATTTGTTGAAAAACATTCAGGGGTCATTGTTTATATCAGGTTGTGGTATTATTGAAGACAAATAGTAGATCAATGAAGAAGCTTAAAGGAAACTCTGGGAAATTGGAAAATGGCCAACATATTCTTGGGATTCCAGGAGACCATGCATGCATCTGAAGGTGTTTTAAGCTTAAGAAAGGCTGGGGTGGATCTAAGCACTCACCTCTGGCTGACCTGACAGCTCTATGCAATATGGGAGTGTGGACCGAGAAGGTGAGCTGGATAAAAATGATGGAGGCCATTGCTTTGGACTGAGCTTTTACCCTAGGCTCCAGCAGCTCAAACTGAACCTAATGGACTCACTCATGTTAGCTGCAGAAACAAAACTCATGACAATGTCAGTTTTCCAAAATGCAGTGTTTCAAGGGGCCTAGACTATCTGAGTTTCATTGTACTGATGGGAGAGATCTTCTTATGGGAGACACTTGAGCTATCAGTCTATGATAACAACAGACATCCCCCAAATTAAAAATTCCCCAGGAGTCTCATGTTGGAGAAAAGGAAAGGCAGAAGCCATGGTACCAGCCAGAGGAAAAACTCATCTTCTAGAAAGAGACTTCGCACAGTCCTGACAACTTATCAGATCACCTTTCAGGATAGATCAGAGCCAAGACAATGATTGGTCAGTGATGGGCAAGCCCACACTTTGACCTGGGCTGCTTAGTTACACACGCTTCTTCCCTCTATTTAATCTATACCTCATGTTAGCACCCCAAAGATGAACTGGGGGGTGGTGTCTCTGGGCCATGTAATTTTTTCCTCTTCCCAATGTGGCCCCATTGAATAAATATTTTTTCTCTGCTTTTCATTATTATATATCTTTAATTGGTATATTGGGGATGGGTGGCTGAACCTCGCTTCTTGGGACTGCCAGAATCCAGGCATCATCCCTATAATGTCCAGTAATAACATTGCCAGCTATGGTGGGAGATACATCTCAGCACTGCCACCAGCAGCCTGAGGAGTTCTCTTAGGAACCTCCACTTAGGTAAAACCAGATCCTTGACTACAGCACAGAAACAAACTTCAGGACAAGTCAGAGTGAAAGAAAGTTCGCCAGTTTATTAACTATTTAGATGACAGTCATATAGGAAAGGACAGCACACACTCTAAGACATGGGTGTGGGCTTCCAGAGAGAAATCCATGTTTAGATGTCTTTCCAATGGATATATATATGCATATATATACACATATGTATATGATACTGTGACTTTCTAAGTTTAATTGTTCAAAGGACGTGATTTACAACAAGGTTTAAAGATTAAACAAAGCTCAAAATTTAAGTAAATTTTAAAAATCAAGTAAATATATAAAACTGGTTTGTTTCTTTTCCTTAGCTAAGAATTTTCTTTTGTAAATGAAAGTATGAGATGGTTTTATGTGACATATTGTTTAGCTTTCAGGATGAGAGAGGCATGTGTGTCAAACTCAAGGTACAAACCTTCTGGTCCCAGCTTAGGAGAGGTCATTTGTTGTTCTTAACAATCTGTTTGAGATGTGTTAAGGAAAACACACATTATCTCTGTAGAAGTTACCTACAGAAGTTGCCCAAGTTGAGGGTTTTATCACTTGTGTTGAAGTTTTGAAGTTTCCTTTTTAAAATTATTTATTTATTTATTTATTATTTACTTATTTATTTTTGGCACAGGGGTCTCCCTGTAGCCCCAGCTGACCTAGAACTCACTATGTAGACCAGGCTAGCCTCCATCTCATAGAGACTCATGTCACAGAATTTCATGTATCACTAGGGCTATAGGATATTTGGTCTTCCCAGTGCACAGTAGCAAGCAAGGAGTTGCTCTTTGGAGGAATGTATCTGTACGTTACCTCAGGCAACTTATGTGTCCAAAAACCTAGAAGCTGTGCACCGCAGGGACAGTTTCCTATTGCCACAGATGGTAGTCAGCATAGGTGAAGGTGATGGACATCTGAGTCTTCTTGGGCCAGCAGCTCCAGAAGTTTCAAAGGCAGTGAATGGGGGCATGGTTTGTCGAATGTCTTCCAAAATCTGTTGCTGTGAAAGGCCTCATTCAAAACAGAGAGCTTTGTAAGCCACTTTGATTAAGGGAACCAAAAAATTGTTCTGTGCATTTATGTATTTGTGCGCCTGTATGTTGTGCAGGTGTGCCATATGGGTAATTGGACAACTTGTATGAGTCGTTTCTCTCCTTCCACCATATGGGTCCTAAGAAGTGAACTCAGCATCAGGCTTGGCAGCAAGTACCTTTACCCACTGAGTCTTTTCTGAAGCCCAAGCCTCCTTTATATTAGTGGATATCATCAAGGACAAAACATTTGCTCAGCTATTTCTGGAATATTCTTTTGGCTTCCCATCCAAGTGACCCCTAGGAAATGCACCTGCTCTGTGAGTCCCTGGACTTCACCTGGATTTATAGCTTAGTCAGTGACTAAAAGCCAGTGTTAGATTTTTCAGAGCGCTCTATTCTCAGATGTTGTTGTTGTGCCAGGTGAATAGAACTTCCTTCTTAGCCTTGTTGAAAGTCAACCCTATCTTCTGGTGGCGTATTGCAGAGGCATGAGGCTTTCTTCAGAAGCATATTGTAGGCAGTGACAAGTGGGTATAGAGGGGGTCTACATCCCTATCTCTCCAGGGGATGGAGGAAAGGGTACTAGCCAAGTCATAACAGTATACCAGTCTCCAGTGGGAGGTTCCACTGTCTTGGTGATGGTGATGGCATCTGCCACACCAGGACCAAAGGCAAATCAGCACTTAGTGATAGTCCACTATCAGCCTTGGAAGCCTTGTGGGCCAAGCTGGCCTTTCAATGGTGATAAGGTGGTTTGTGACATTCCTGCTGCAGCAAGTGCTGGCTGAATGAAGGAAGGTTCCAGTTCCCTCCTGCTATGCAGTATAGCTTTTGTTGACTAACCCACTGGGGTTTAGCTGACAGGCAAGAGCACATGTATCATCATGCTATGGCTCAGCTCCTTAACTATGTATTTCCTCAGCGGTGGTGAAGTACTGTTCCATACACAGCCCAAGGGTCAATACTATGATACATACTAATACAATCATTTAACTGATCAGTAAGATAACCATACAGACACTCTAGAAGCCACACACCACAAAGAATGATACCTGATAGAGTTAGCTCAGAAACACCATTAAACAAACATAAAAAGCAACAAGTAAGACCCAAATAAATACCCTGGAAAGGAAGGAAAA